CCAGAAACTAGTGCGGGAGCTAGAACTGGAACTGGAGCCGACACCTCCATGGTTGGTTACCGGAGGAGAAGCGAGAGCGGAAGAGGTAGTGGCTCCAGTTCCAGCAACCTATGGTTGTACAACCATCCACGCTAGCCCCCTCTTACAATCGAAGAAGATGATTGATTCAAACGATTCCAGAACAAACGTCAAACTGATTGGAATTGCTGAGAAACGAACCGTTACTTCCTCGAATGTCCAGCTATTGAAGAGCTTGACGTCAGTCGGACCAGAAACTGGTGCGGGAGCTGGAGCTGAAACTGGAGCTGCCACCTCCATGGTTGGTTGCCAGAAAAAAAGCGGGAGCCGAAGAGGTAGTGGCTCCAGTTCCAGCAACCTATGGTTGTACAACCCATCCACACTACCCCCCTCTTTCAATCGAAGAAGATGATTGATTCTAACGATTCAAGAACAAATTTCAAACTGATTGGAATTGCAGAGAAACGAACGGTTACTTCCTCGAATGTCCAGCGATTGAAGAGCTTGACGTCGGTCGGACCAGAAACTGGTGCAGGAGCTAGAACTGGAACTGCAGCCGAACCTCCATGGTTGGTTACCGGAGAAGAAGCGAGAGCGGAAGAGGTAGTTGCTCCAATTCCTGCAACCTATGGTTGTACAACCATCCACACTACCCCCCCCCCCCCTCTTACAATCAAAGAAGATGATTGATTCTAACGATTCAAGAACAAAGTTCAAACAGATTGGAATTGCAGAGAAACGAACCGTTACTTCCTCGAATGTCCAGCGATTGAAGATCTTGACGTTGGTCGGACCCAAATTGTGGTATAACTTGTCGACTCCTTTCCTGAGGTATAGTCCTTTCTTCCCATAACTGAACCCCACATCCCACGTCGCGAACGTCTCCTCTCCCCTTGAAAGTTCCAGCCTCACGGATTTAATATCCAACATGTGCTTCTTAGTGAACTCCCGTGGCACGCCCTGCGCATGAACATATTGATTACGCTAATGACACAACAACAACAACAACACAATGATTGTAAAAGAGGGGCGCCATTTTCTTACCAAGCGATATGGATAGCTGTTATGTCTCTTCATCACCACAAGGAAAGATGGTACATTCACGCGATTCATAGCCAGGACTTCTTTCACAGCCCTCTGCTTTTGGATGACAGTTTGTGAAAGTGATGGAAAAACTATGAGCCAACAGAAACCCGCTTCCTTTCCACTTCCTTCATCAGATCGTAAACCAACCCTCCACCATTATCATCAACATCAACCAACCCTCCACCATTATCATCATTCCCTCCACTATCATCATCATCATCATCAACCAACCCTCCACCATTATAATCATCATCATCGTCGTCTTCATCTTCTTCGTCATCGTCGCCATCTGCGGAGTCAGAACGAAAGTGACTACCGAAACATGTAAATTACAGGGCTAATAAGCACTCTAAGATTTTTGTTTCTCCTTTTAGAATAACTTCCTTACCGGAATCAGAAAGAATAACGTTTTCGCCGTCGGCGAATGGAGTATTTTGCTGGGAAGGGGAATTTGGGGGAGAATCCAGAATTTGAATAGACGTAGTGTCTTCTTCCATAGCATTGTCAGAGCTGCCAGATGGGTAAGTGATTTCACGGGTAGTGAAGTCAAAGATTCAAACGTTAAAGCTCGACGATCCCGTATATTCAAACGTCAGAAAATCGTACATGGAAACTTTGTTTTCTTCCACGAAACAGGACTAGCCATCGACGAACAAAAATAACCCTTCTTCTGATCCTTTGACAACGCCCACTTCCCTAACTCGACCGTTTGGAAGACAAAGCCGAGCCTTTTCGGTCAGCTTCCCGCCGTGTAATATCCCAAACTTCACCGGCAATCTCTGTAAACCAACCCGGTCAAAAAAAAAATTGGGTTAAGAAACAAGAAAGGGGAAGGGGTTTCTTTACCAGCTTTTCTTCTTGGATTGTGTCCGGGAGAATAACTTTGAAGAAAGCTATGAGGGGAAGATCAAGACTGTTGTGCTCTGTTTTTTCTCCTTTCAGAGTGCTCTGTTTTCAGATGCTATATGAGGGGAAGATCAAGACTGTTGTGCTCTGTTTTTTCTCCTTTCAGAGTGCTCTGTTTTCGGATGCTATATGTTCTTTGTTGGGTTCTTTTCAATAAAGGGTTTACCGGCTGAAAAAGATAAGAGGGAATATGAAAGAAGATTTGGGTTTCCTGGCTTTTCGGTCGACGAGTCTAATCAATAGGCTAGTAGAGTTGCTAGGGAGAGGTGGTAGCCGGATGAAAGATTATTGGGTTTGTAAGTATGATAGAGTAGACTCATTTAATTTTTAATTTCTCTTTTTCCTTCTCCTTTACATTCATTTATTTTTCACGCGAAATGATTTTCGTTAAATTACCGGTGGCGCTTGCCATTACTATGGAATTAGAAGTAACCGAGTTTCATAAGAATTGTACAATAGAAAAATGATAATCAAGCTCATCATCTTTCTGGTTTCGATGCTTCCATCATAGTCGAGATATTCATTGGTATCGTAATCTCTATTTTTCTCGTAATCTCCATTGGTGTCGTAATCTCTCATTAGAATCGTCCCTTGACGCCGGATACAAAACAAGAAGGCCTCAAGTGTAAAGGAAATCTGTGGTTCAGAACCGCATCATCAGTGCATTCGATCTGATCTGAATATTGATTCGGTCCAATTTTTCTTAATATTTATACAATTCATGGTTGGACCGATCGAACCAAATTGTTGCACACCGTTACCTATTACTCATACTTCCGATGAAAATAAAAAATCATTATCATCTTATTTAATTATGTATACCTCCGAGGAGATAGCCTAACAGTTAGCTTGCTGGTTTTCAACTTAGAAAAATGACGTCACCTGGGCCGAAGGGCGGCGACCCTGGAGTTTACAGTATCGACGGCGTCACTCAATGTGGCGCTCGCCCGGGCGGGTTCTTCGTATAAAATAAAAATAAAACTATCTAAACATTTGAATAAAAAGCAATCCAGCCAACTGGCCGGGGACTAAGCTAATATGTATCAGTTAGATAGATGTGAGTTTAATTGACCACTAATAGGCTGTGTGTGATTGAGGTATGCTGTATGTGAACAATAATAGACCAAGATTTCAGCATACTCCCCAGCTGTTTGTCATTTTGTCATTTTTCTGTACTTTAAGCGACTGATGTATTTGGGAAAGGTGGGACAGCTGTTGGTCGATGTACAGGTGGTATATCTGATGGTCCACCATCACCTGAATCTGTCGTGGACTTGGATGGATTTGACTAGGGATGGCAAAAAAAATCTGTAACCGTGGATATCCGCCCGAATCCGACCTAATCGGGTAGGGTAAAACCCAAACCCGAAAGACTTTTAGTGGGTACGGGTAAAACCCGAACCCGAATATTGTGGGTAATGGGTGGGCATGGTTTTCTCACTATCCACCCCGAACCCGCCCGATTATACACATGCATATGTATTTAGTCTAGAAATAATCAATATTTTTCTCTAACATATTTTATATTTAGCATATAAATATAATAGTTTTATGAAATTGTGTTGTTTTAATTAATTTTCTTCATTCTAGTGAATTATTGTCGTACTTTTCGTCTTACGTAACGTGAGAATACGAGTGAATATTAACATATTGGTTGGAGTTATAAAGAGAAACTATTACCCATGGATAACCGTGGATACCCGAAACCCGAACGGGTATGAGCATGGTTTGGATTTTCTATCCGTTTCTTATGTGGGTATGGGTATGGGTATGGGTAAAACCCGAACTACTCTGGGTAGGGTAGCGAATATGCACTATTCGTCCCCGACCCGACCCATTGCCATCTCTAGATTTGACTCACCAATTGACCTGGATTCTCAAAGGACCACAGAGATCATGAATGACTTAATCAACGAAGGTATTGAGCTGCAAAAGAATGCAGCTGCCAGCAACAAATCTGCTAAGAAGAAGGCAAAAAAGATTGAAATTAACACTGATGAAGCTATAGTTAATGTGTCATCCCAACTTGGTGAGCTGAAGCCAATAATCTTCAAGGCTGTGGAAGCTCTTGGCTCCATAATAGGTGATCGTGATGGTGACAACAGTAAGCAAGCTGCTTTGATCAAGGAGATAGGGAAAATTGGAGGACTCACTCGTGACCAAATCATTGATGTTGTTATGGCTTTAGTGGACAACGAGCCAAAGACTCGACTTTTCTATGCCCTAGAGAGTGAGGAAGACTGGTTCTACTTCATCAGGAGCTTGCTACTTTGACATTGGTGGTGTAGGATCTACTTCCTATTCTATTTTGCAGAACACATGTGAGATGTATGCGATACTTTTTTGTGTGTGCAAGATTAGCTCTTGCTGTATTTAGCCATTGCAAGTGTTTGGCGGTGGAAAACCATCATTTTGCAGAAGTTTCCTTTCATCCCAAATATTATAGCTGTGTTAGACTTATGGTTGCTGGTTTTAAACGGTTGTGAAATGCATTTTTGAGTTATGAAAGCTACTCTGTGGCTCTGGTTTTTCATAACTGTTATAGTTAGCTGATTATGTGAAATCGTGATACTCTTCTTTTTACAGTTTCCTATCGGCTAATAATTTGACAGGATCTTTTCCAGATTCTCTGTCCTCTCTACCTCTCTTGACAAATATATATAAGTTCTGGATGTGCATTATTTGTTATGTTCAGGTTTGCAAATTCAGCTCACATATTGACTTCTGCACTTCCAGGTCTCTTAACGACAAGTAGAACTGAAATATATGGTAGCCTAGACTCACGTTGGCAGTGCATTCTTTCCAGATTCGATATCAAAGAGGCAATACATAATGATACACATGCATAACTCGACTGAAAACACCATGATATACAACAACATGGCCTACTTGAATCAGTTCCTACTTGTACGCTCTAACTCTAGCCGCTCTATCTTCTGCTTGATGATTTCCAGCTCAATGAACAACTCAGTCGGTTCATGTATTCCAGCTCAATCCTTCATAACTCTCCCTAACAAACTGCGAAGCTGTCTATTTTCAGCTTCCAGCCTTGTAACCTTTGCAGACAACATTGAGGTTGCTTTGAACACTGCAGCTCTAATGTCATACAATTCAAAGTAGCGACACGCTTTCTTAGCGTCTGAGGGACTGAACCGTGGGCATCCAAAAAACTTGCGATTAGGATTGCCAGAGGTACGTGAAATTCTTCTAGCCGTCCTCATCCCGCAATCACATAACACCTCTTCCTCCTCGTAATGGAATGCATCCGAAACTGCTATCTCCTTTCATCCGCTTGCCATGAGATGTATGCAATTGGTAATTGTATTTTTTTCTGCCTTGAAAGGAGAAATCATCTCCTACATCAAGAATCTAAAATATATATGGGAAGCAGCATAATGGAAGGAGACTCAACGTACCTGCTGTCAAAAGAGATAGTAGCAAAGTGAACCAGAATAAGGATAATGGAGGAGCAAAATGGTAAATGCAATTTTTTATTTCTAAAACCCAACCCATTAAATCCATGATCAAAATGAAGAAACAAACAAAGGATTTTTCCAAATCTAAAATGCCCTAAATTCCAAATAAAACCTTAGGTTTTTAAATCCCACGTTTAAGTAAAAACCTTCATCTTACAATCCTTGAAGAAAACGACCCTATATTCTATTTCTCTACTTTTGGGGAGCTAAAACGCCATCAATATAGTGAGTATGAAACTATGAATTGATATGCAACAATATCGGTGGCTTCATGAATATGCAACACTTTATATTCTGTGAAACATTAGGATTGGCATTCCAATATCCGTGGCTTACATTGCTTATCCATATATTATGGCTTTGTTGAAAAATCAAAGATAGGAAGAAAATATATGAGTCATCATTCTTGTTGGTTGCAAAATCCCTTTCACCAAACGTTGAAGACCCACTCTATATTATTTGTGTAATGTTTCGGAAAATTTGTATCTCCTAGATGATATAGCTCTATTTATGTGGTCAATGCCAAGGGTTGAGAAATGCAGTCTAGTTATTTTGCTAACTTGAAAATTCGTTAGTATATACTAACTAATATCCAAAATGTATGAACTAGTATCCAAGTCTGTTGAGTATCTAGATAGCACAAACTAGTATTCAAAACATCACAAACTAGTATCCAGATAGCAGATACCAACTAATATCCACAATCAACCAACTAGTATTCAATATGGATACTCTTATGTGTTATTTGGATACTTTTATGCGTTATCTGAATACTAATTATGTTCTGTATGAATACTATTCTGTGTTGTCAAGATATTAGTTTGTGAATTTGAGATAATAGTTGATACATGGTGTATATCAGTTAGCAAACTTTAAATACTAGTCTGTGCTCTCTAGATACTTTAATATTTGGATACTAGTTCATATATTTTGGATATCAGTTAGTATCTGCTAACGAATTTTCAAGTTAGCAGATTAACTTTTCCTTGAGCAATGTAGACTGTAGTTCTATCCCCACAAAATATAGATAGTCATTTCCCTCATTTTGCAAGTGACGGTATACAGGGACTATGAAGTGTTGTAATCAAGGTTGTCAACCCGCGGGTCGACCCAATTTAACTCTGACCCGGTGAGAAAAACGGGTCGCACGGACCCGCCGGGTCGACCACTACAAGGTATCGGGTTGTAGGTCAAATTGTATAATTTTTTTTATTTATTTGCGAAATGCGCCTATTTTCCGATTTTTCTTTCCGCCTAACTCAATTTTTGAAATTCTAAGTTGAGAATACACATCAACATTTTGATTGATCATATAGTTAATCAAATACTTGATTCAACAAGACTGGTTCAAACACTCATTAGATTTTGAATACACTTTACGAGTATGACGAAGAATACACATTGAAGATTCGAGCTCAGATATCGACATTGATAGTATACAACTTGTAAAAGAGCAGCCTATGAGATTTGGATTGAAAATAGTTTGGCTCAGTTGTGTTTGCATTCCTAATGAACCCTCATTACGATTTTAGAGAACCTTTCGTAAATTAGGAAACTTTAGGGGAAAAAATCCCAGAATACTCGAGTTATTAAAAAAAATTCCCTAAATAAAGTACTTATAAAAGTAATTCCCAAAGTACAGCAGTTTCAACATCACTGTCTTTGTCTAAGACAGTGATGTTGATCACCGCTTTCGTCCAAAACAGTGAAGCAGCGGGGAACGCATCACCGCCTTGGACAAAAGCGGGGAATGCATCACCGCCTTGGACAAAAGCGGGGAACATATCACCGCTTTGGACGAAGGCGGAGATCGTATCCCCGCTTTTGACAAAAGCGGGGAACGTATCCCCGCTTTTGACATCAACAGTGAAGGCATCCCCGCTGCTGTCGACAACAGTGATTGCCACCACGTTTTACATAGCCCTGGTAGGTGGAGGTAGGTAACAGCTACCTAGCTATCACCGCTGTCGACTAAGGCGATGATGTGTTCACCGCCGTGGTCCAAAGCGGTGATTAGCTCTCAATTTTTCCTATAAAAACCCACGCCCACTTCCCTCCTGCTGCCAAACAGCAAATTAGTACAAAAATTATCGTTTTGTTAAGTCGTTTTCGCAGCTGGTTCCTCCGTAGTTTACTGCTCAAGAAACTCATCGGGATTCGGTATGTTAGAATTATGTATTGTTTACATTTTGATTATGTGTTAGAATTAGGTATGTTAGAATTATATATTTAGATTAATTATGATATGATATATGTTAGTTAGTTAGTACTGAATTTAGATTAATTTGTTTAGTTTTCTCTTGATAGATCGGGATTGAGTATGTTATAAGTATGTATTTTTTACATGTTGATGTGTTAGTAATTATATGTCTGTATTTAGTGAATTGCGGTTATTGGAAAATATGTTATGATATTATTTAGTTTAATTATGATATGATAGATGTTAGTTAGTTAGTTAGTTATGAATTTAGATGAATTTGTTTAGTTTTCTCATAATAGATCAATTAGTTGCATTTTATTATCGCTTTGGATGATATTGTTTTTGTATCCATAATGTACTAATTATATACTATACTTAATTATTATAAATTGCAGACATGGGTAAATTTAAGAAGTTTCGGCTTATTATTTATTGGAATGGTCGGGTGACAAACTCGAACATTGGGATCGACTATGAAGATGGCGAATCCAGTATGCTTACAATTGAGTCGAGATTCTCGTGGCAAGAACTCCATGACAGGTGTGCAGAAAGGACTTGTACGGGCGGGCAAATGAGAGTTCGTCAAATTACTTACCGGTATCCCAACATGAGTGCTGACGGAGTCATGTACGAAAAAGTTGACATAAATGATGATGACGACGCGAACATGATGATACAGTTCATATCTGAGAACGGGGTGCGGCTTGCAGAGGTGTATGTCGAGACCGAGTCGGTCGGTGAAACTCATTCTCACCAGTATTCTTATGATGATGGTTTAGCAGGAGGGTATGGCTGGGGTGGTAGTTCAAGTAACTACGGAGCAGGTTCTTCTGCCGGAGGGTATGGTTGGGGAGGTACTTCAAGCAACTACGGAGGAGGTAGTTCTGAAGGAGGTGTTGGGTGGGAAGAATACCTGCCACATGGTGGTGAGACTGCCGTCGATATCGTTCAGCCCGACGGTGATCAATGGCCTGCTTGGGGTCCAGAGTGGGGTGACATTGAAAACACCCTTCGATCTGGGCGTACTTCGCATGACCAAGAAGGCGATGCTGGTTATGCTGGTAACGATGACCATCCTTCGCCGAGCTATCCATTCGCCTCCAGTGACGATGAAAGTGAGGAAGATTTGAGATCAGTCAGTGAGGAGGAAGATACGGACGATAACGACGATATCGATGACAATGAGGTGGCGTTCCGACAGGCACCAACGCTTTACTACACAGAGGTTCCTGATCAATTTTTATATGGTCAGAACGATGCCCCTGACTTTCGGCCCATGGCTGTGTATAATCCGACTGCTAATTTGGAAGTGGGTATGGCGTTCACTTCGAAAGCCGATGTGCAAGACGCTTTTAGCGAAGAAGCCATGCGGCGTAATTTCGAATGGAAGGTAAAATATTCTGACAAGGGACAACTGCATGTCATTTGTAAGAATGCTGGAGAGGGTTGTATGTGGCAACTTCGTGCTGCATATATGAAGAGAAAGGGGGTCTGGGTCATGCGGACAGTAGAGAACAACCACAGTTGCTCCTCAACCATACTTTCACAGGATCACCGGCAACTGAAAGCAAAAAAAGTGGCAAGAACCATTAAGCACCTTATCGAGGCACAACCAGATATCAAGATAAAAGCTATCATGGCGGAGGTGAAGGATCGACACTCCTACACCATAAGGTATAAGAAGGCGTGGCATGGGAAGCAGAAGGCCATGGCTGATGTCTACGGTGATTGGGATGACTCGTATGCTTTACTCCCCAGACTAATGTCCGCAATGGAGGAGTCCAACCCTGGGACGGTTTTCGTGCCTTGGTACAACAACGTAGAAACTGAAGATCAAGTTCGAGTACAGAACGAGTTGATGTTTCATCGTCTGTTCTGGACATTCAAGCCATGCATTGACGGGTTTCCCTTCTGCATGCCAGTGATTCAGGTATATTACAGACTCAAAATATTGTACTATTTCATTACTTTACTAATTTCAATTTTTACTAACTCATTATTCATTTTAACAGGTTGATGGAACTTTCCTTACTGGGAAGTATAAAGGAACTCTTCTTATTGCCACTGGGGTTGATGGAAATTTAAGTATTTTTCCCTTAGCATTTGCATTAGTTGAAGGGGAGAACAACCTAAGTTGGGCATGGTTCTTTGACCAGCTACACGCCCACGTCACACAAAGAATGGGTATTACAATTATATCGGATCGACATGCCGGGATTAAACACGCCGTCCGTGGTTTCCCGGACGAATGGGGATGGACATGGCGTTGGTGTATTCGTCACTTCCTAGCCAATTTCCAACACAAATTTGGCAAGAAGAAAGACATAAGAGATCAATTGTGGAGTGCAGGTAATAATGTAATTCAGTGCTTGTTCATGGTTTATTGTTCAAATGAAATTTCTTATGGATTAATTATTAATTCTCCGGTCTTGTAGCGGTTGCACATCAACCAAAAAAGTACGAGCAGAAGATGAAGACGATCCGTCAAATACACCGGGCGGGAGCAGTATGGGCAGAAGGTCAAGATCTGCACATGTGGACATTT